CCATTAAAAGAAAATGTAAGACCTAAACTCACCCTTTCTAAAAATCTGCTTCTGTAAGAAATAAAAAGACCTGGATCCACCAGAAGTACTAAAATCAAATCTGTGTTAGTCTTTTAAAGTCCTACTTCTTTAAAATTCAAGAATTATCTGCATGCTTTGGTAGGGATGTGTGGTTGCTTATTACTCACAACGTATTTCTGCTTTGATCACAAATTGAGGAGGAGCTAACATTGAGGAACAGAAATATCTACAGACACTGAGAATAAACTACAGACTTAGATGAGCAAGGCTGGGGAGAGAAAATACGATCCTCTAGGAAGAATAATGTAGTAACAATCAGAACACATCTGGGATTTGATTCAAACTGACCTGGAACTGAATGGACCCCCAAGCTGTTCTGTACACAACGCAACACACACACACACACACACACACACACATTGAGATTTCTAAAAGTGAAATTTCAGAAAGTTATCCAAAGGAGTTAGACTAAGAAAAGGTTTCACTGGCAGACACAGGAATAACTTTACCCCTTGTATGGTGACCTGTGAGTGGAGTGAACAGCGGGCTAAACAGATCTTTCTATCAAAAGGTCCAACCTAACCCTCCCACTCCAGCAGGGTTCTGAAGGTGTCAGCAGGCTTTGGTTGACTGGACCATTAATGGAGCTTCGGTTAATTATTGACTGATTAGAGATTTGCCTTATCTTCCCATCAGGAGCTGGTTCAAGACTTAACGGTAAGCAATTTAGAGCCAGGGTGAACCTACCCACATGCCTTTTTCTTCTTTTCCTTTGGGTCACTTTAGCTTGTCCTTCCCCTTAATTCACATTCGGGTCAGAATGGCCAGTCCTTCCCGTGCTTGGGAGTCCTCAGAAGGACTGCAGATGAGAGGGGCCAGGTTCATGGTGAGGCGTGTCCAGAGACAGAGGCCTAGAACAGGGCTGCCTTTTGCGAAACTTTGCTTATTGGCCTGGGGTCTCCCATTAAGTCCCTGGGAGAAAATCGATGTCTTTGTGTTTCTAAAAATGCTGGTGATGCCTGTGGGTAAGAATCAGCCCCCCGCCCCCAAAAAGCAGGCAGCCTCTGCTGAAGGCCTCTTGGCAAAGCTGGGGAATCAGCACAGGCAGCTTGGGCCCAGCTGCCCCAGATAAGAGGTGGCCCGTGTTAATGTACAGGCTTCCTCTGCACCTCAGCAGGGCCTTCCTTTTCTAAACAGTCTCCCTTTAATGTTGGCGAATGTTGTTTTTCCATTGACTCAACATCTCGCCTCTGGTGGTGAGCCAGTGGGGAAAGTTGGAGCGGGGGAGGGAGGAGGAAAGTGGGAGAGAGTGATGCCAAGGCAGAGGAGAGAGGGGCAGTGAGCCACGCTTCCAAACAAGCTGGACACCTGCTTTGGAAAGACAGTGACCAAGCCTAAAATTCTTTCTTCCTCACGATTTAGATCAGCTCTTTGTTCCCTGCATGTCTGTGATCTGCCCTGGCCCCTTCCCCACAATGTTGCCTCCTTCCCTTCGCCAGGAACTAATCCAGCATGGTAACTACCATGAGGGATTCCTAGCTTTTCTCTGCCAACGTAACTGTCTTATCTGAAGGAAAGAAAGAATAAGAGAGTTATTGGAGTGTATTAAAGAGGAAAAAGAAATTCTAGGAAAAAAAATGAAACCATTGATGGGAGGAAAGCAAGAGAGAAAATGAAATTAGAGAGGAAAACAGGGAAGAGGAGAAAGGGGTAAGTGAGGGGAAAAAAGGATGGAAATGAAAGGCAAAAAGGAGAGAATAAAAGGATAAAGCAAAAAAGAAAGAAAGAGAAGAAAAGAAGAAGGAGTGCAGAAAAATGAAATCTGAAATGAGAGGTTTTCCCCAGAAGCTTGGTTTTTTAAGCCACAAGACAGACCCCAGGTTGAGGATGGAGAGCAGTCAGTCCCCTTTGGGGCTTCTCTGGGCAAGACGAGGTCAAGGGGCATCTTCAAAACTAAATCTTGATTAGAGCCAGCTAAATGTTTTGACTTGAAGGAGACATGCAGGATTAAAAAGCAAAATAGAGCAGCATGGGTAAGAAAGAAACAGGAAAAGAAAGAAAATTGAAAAAAGAAACAAAACTCACAGGAGACACAAAGGGAATGATAGAAAACACTTCTGAATCAGCTAGTCATCTACTAACAAGCTGCAAAGATTTCCAATGACAAGTTGTCACATTAGTTTAGTGAAACTGAAGCAGTACTTATCCCCTTTCCTGTGCTTAATCTCTCCCTGCGTGCCACAGAAACATGCTACCACGTTTAATAGGATTAGTTTCATTCACTTTCTCCCTCCACCCCTTTTATTTTTTACAATTCTATTTTCAGCAATACAGGGATCCTTGAATTCGACTTCCTGCGGTGCACAGCAAAACCTGGCATGCATGGGTTTTACCCTTTATAGACTTTATCTGAATCTGAAAAATGTAATTTGACTGTTTTGTACCCCCTCCCCCAAATGAATTACTTTGTCCTCCTGGAAATCTCCATAACGTGGAGGGTGGGGGAGGGAGTGTTGATGGTAAAAGGGTCAAGAGAGAACCTGGGCTATGAAGAAGCTGACAAAGCCCCATCCCTGCAGAGGCCGTGTGCCCTAGGAGGAACTGTTCCGGCTCTGAAGGCAGGCAAACCTGGGTTCCGATTCTGACGGCTACTTACCGGCTTTGTGGCCTTAAGCAGGTGGTGAAACCTTCCCTGTCCCCGTTTACTCATCCATACAATACAGCAGGGATAACTCTCATCAGGGCTGTTGGGAGAACTACACCTAATGTACTTATTTCTTCACTGCTAAGGTTCACTTTTTCTCATATTTTATTATGTTCCTGCAATCAATATGTCCTACAATCGATTGTGCATTTAAGGTCATTATGTTTTCCTTTTCTCCCAAAGGGCACATTTAAATGGATGGTGTGTCTTAGAGCCTATGGCATTTTAGAAGAAAATGGAAGTGCTGGACATAAAGCATCTGGCGCAGTTCTGAGGTAGGAAGTGCTCAGAAGATGCTAGAATTGTCTATCACTGCTCATCACTATGCCTATGCCCCTCCCTCCCATATTCTCGCAGAAAGACCACTTTGAAACATGGAGAGAAGGAGGTGTTGACACTTTTGTCCCTCACCCAGATTCCTCTAGACTCCTGCTCCGAATCGAGGTTTCAGAAACCTGGCTAAATCGAACACATCATAACTGTCCCTCCGTGTTGGATAAGAACCAAAATCGTCCGGTCCACTCGCTCTCTCAACAGGGTCACCAACTGCCACGCTCAGCAGTGTCTTGCAAACAGTAATTATCTGCTGAATGATTCTATCTTCTTTGAGCCCACTTTGGGTTCCGCAGCCCCTCCTGCCCTCTCTCCCCAGGCACCAGCCCCGAAGATTAGCATTGAGACCACCGAAGATTAGGTGAACTCCGCCTGCCCCGGGAGGGAAAAGGATGGGGCTTCGGGGACCTGGGGGAGTGAGGGAGCCACCCTGGGGCCTAGGATGGGGATGAGGGGAGGTGGAGCTGGGAGGAAGGAGGAAGCTGGCTGCCCGGAGCCCGTGCGGGGGCGCTGGGGGGACCCACCCCCCGTCGGAGCCGGGGCGCGGGAAGCCGCGGGTGGGGGACGCACGGCGACACCCCTCCGGATCGGGAACGCGCACCAACAGCGCCGCGCACGGGGGGAGCCCGGGCTGCCCGCCCCCGAGAGGCGGCTGCCGGGAGGGGGTGCTGCCCGAGGCCTTCCGCCAACCGGGATCAGCGGGTGACCCAGAGCGTTCCAGAGCCTCGCCAGACGCAGGAGGCGCCCTTCCCGCGAGCCGGAGCAAGGGTCCGATTTAGCCTCCAGCCTCGCCTTCGCTCCCGCCTCCCACTCCGTCCCTCAAACCACACTTCACACCCCTGCCGGCACCCCACCCCCCAGCCTCCTCGCTCACCCCCGACCTCCTGCACCCCCCATCCCCTCCAGTTATCCGCTTTGGCCCTCGCACTCCCAGCCCCACCTCTCCCCTGAACTCCACTCCCTCAGCCCCACTGCCAGCTACCCACCCCGCCCCTTACCATGTGCAGGACACCTAGTCCACCTACCTCCACCTATAATCTCCCCTCACCCCTACCCGGCACCCTCCCACACGCTCCCTTCCCACCCCCCTTCTCCCACCCCCCCACCCCACCCTGCTCCTCCAGATCTTCCTCTCAGCCTCTGCCCCTGCCCTCCTCCCCTACAAGAATAGGCAAAAGTACTCCTTCCACCAAGACCACCACCAGGAGAGGGCTTGGGGGTAAGAAACCAGAAGCTGATACCTGTCTCCCTACAGCCTGGCTCTGGATATGTGTTTCTCTATGGTTGTTGAGGGCCTTTGTTTTGTCCCCTAGAGTCACAGACATATCCCTCTCTCACCCCCAGTAGTCACAGAGCAGGAATCTTCTACACTGGCTCAAAGATATACACAAACGCTGGAAGGATGGGCATCTAGGGATCAAGCTTGGGCTTTCCCTCATGCAGAGAGTAAAGGGTGCCCACTCCCAGCCCCTGGGCTCATTCAGCCTAGGGACTGGGCCCTCAGATGCCCCAAGCTGGAAATCTCTTCCTTAACCCAGGAATAGGCAGTGATTACTAATCTCAAGCCTTCTGAGGATACCTTCCTTGGGATGTTTCATTAGCCACTCACAGCCATCTCCAGTTCTAAAAGTGTCAGCCTTCTTGATCTGTTCTCTGCTGGCTATGCCTATTCCATTCCTCTGGCTTTCTTCCCCTCACCCTGCTGCAGAGTCACAGCCAGCGATGGCCCCTTCCCGCCTATCTTCCTTTCCCTTCTATCTTTCTTTCCCTTCTCACAGCTGTCTTTGGCTGGGCTCTCCCTTAATGACCTTGGGGTGTGTTCCTACTCATTGGATTGAACATAATTTTAAGAAGGGTTGTATTTTACATGACATAGATTTGGGGGAGTTGTTCATTCACACATGTAAAAACATATGGTAGATGATATACATTTTAGTTTTACCTAGGAATGTTGCCCTTTTTTGCCTTCTTGTTGTTCCCTCCTTGAATAGAACTGTTCGTCCTGTGGCTTTGTTGGTGAGACAGGCAGCTTCTGTAGGAAAGGTTTGCCATCTATAAAGCAGGGAAGGTGAAAGAAAGAAAGAAAGAAAGAAGGAAAGGAAGAAAGAAAGGAAGGAGGAAAGGAAGGAAGGAAGGAAAAGAGAGGGAGGGAGAGAAAGAAAAAGAAAGATTGATTTCACATCAGTAAATGCCTCCTGTCTGCCAGTGGGACTGATGGACAGTTCTAAGTCCAAGAGCACAGGGCCTAACTTCCAAACATACACCAATGCTATTTTTTATGGCTTAAAAGGTGAGAGGTGAGCATATAAAGTGTCCAAAGTAGCCAGTATGCATAAGCTAAAATGTGCATACACGTACACATCAAATGACAGTCCACTTAGCTTCGCCAAAATATTGGATGGGAGAGGGCTCTGTGCAGGAGGAGTACAGGTCAGCGCAAGTGTGAAGAACACACATTTGTAGACCAAATAGTTTCCATTTTTATTGAGCGCCAGTCATGTGCTGAACGATATTACTTATGTAAAACTCTCTACAATTAGGAGTTGGATACTATTACCATTTAACAGATAAAAAGAACTGAGGCTCAGATAAAGTGACACACCCACGGTCACAGAGGCAGCGACTGGCTGAGCAGTAACTGGAAACACAGCATGACCCCCAGATTCCCACGTCCTCCTGCTGATTGCCTAGCTGGTGTGGGCCCAGAAATCCTTATTTTTGAAAATCTTCCTTGGTGATTCCTGTTGACTAGCCCCGTCTTGGGGACCCCTGCTCCACCTCAAACCAGCCCGCTATATCCCTGTCACCAGCCTTGCCCCTGAGCAGCCTTCTCCGCGTTGGATAAAGCACTTAAAACATATTTAAATAGCAATTTTGAAAAACTATGCAGCATATGGATTTTCCTTTTGATCTCAAAATGATGACAAACAGACACTTAGATACTTCATAAAAGAAATATTACCAGAAAAATTATAGAAATCTGGCTTTCAACTTTGTCTTGCTCTAATTTAAACAAAATGCAACTTTCCAGAGTCACTCTCTCTCCCCCCAAATAAATCCAAACTGGGAGCTTCCTTCTCTTTTTCCCTGCGTGCGCCTGGCCTACACCTATTTATTTCTAACTCACTGGCGTCCTGAATAAAAGCCTTGTAAGATGGGCAGTAGGGATTACTTAAATCCTACCATCAAAGCCCCTGAAAAGAGCATCTCCTCCGAATTCACACCCTTGACTTAAAAGACCGAAGAAAGGGAAGCTGGGAGTAACGGCCAAATATCCTTAGACCGAAGAAATAAAGGGGGTGAGCAGAAGGGGAGGTCTCCAGCCCTCCAAAGGTCCCCGCCCCTCTCTGGGTCCCCGGCGGTGGCCCCAACCTCTTAGATTAAGCGCGTCCACCGTCTCGCCGCCGCTTCGGCCCCGCAGCAACAGGCAGAGAGCAGGTAGCTGCTCTCTGCGTCCGGCGTGTGCCCAGCTCGGGTCAGCGGGGCTGTGCGGAGGCCCCCGGGAAAGGCCCGGGCCGCGGGTTTGGCGCGGGGCGACCCACACTCCAAGGGGCACGCGGGAGGGAGGGGCGCGCCCTCCGCCCTCAGCGCGGCGCCACGGCCGCCTCTTCTCGAGCGCGACGTCTCCGGGCCAGAGAGGCCGCGACACCTAGCGCGGGGCCGAGGCTAGGAAGGAAGGGCCGGGCGGGAGGAGGAGACCGGGAGGAAGCTGCAGGCGAGGAAGCCCCATTGCCGCCTTGGGGCCGGAGAGGAGACTCCCAGCGTTCCCTCCCGACCCGAAACTTTTCCAACACACGCAGGCGTGTGCCGCGCGAGTTTCGGCGGCCCCGAGTCGCCAGAGGGAAGGAGGCTCGTCAAACAAACCTGTCCCCGGGCACGCACGCGGAGGTACACAGGCACACGGGGAGGGCCTGGGCCTCCGGGGAAGCGCTGAGGGCGTGCAGGCAGCGGGCGCCACCCGGCCCGAAAGGGGCTCCCCACGCGTGGGAACCAGTGCTTAAAATCCTGCCGAAGCTCGGAAATGTAGCGGTGCCCAGAGGCTCTGCGTAACTTTGCCCACTGCGCCCCCGCGTGCAGAGGCGTCCCCTCACACTCACACCCTCACCCCACCCCATGCCCCCCGGCTGCAGCTCGAGACTGCCCTTGTATTTCAGGGACAGGGAAAGAGATGCTGATCCGCGCCAAAGAGGGAGGGGTGTAAATGGCGCGAATCCCACTCCCTAGCACCCCCGGATTCGGAGGGAGAGCGCCCCGTTCTCCCCGAAAGCGTCCCCTTCACTTCCCTGTGCCCTTGGCTTCTTCACCACTGTGGACGGAAGAGGATAAAGCACAAGCAGATCGATGTGTATTTTTTTCTGAAATCACGACCTCTCCAAATCCTAGCCCTCAAAGAGCCGGGTAGGGTTGGAGAAAGTCAAGTTATTTCGGGGCCGGGGGCGGGCAACGGCACCCCTCGGAAGGCGCGCGCTCGGCCTGGCGGGCGCCTCGCCGGGCTCAGCGCGGCCAGGCGGAGTGGCTGGATTATGTAAGTAACAGCCCTCCATGTGCTCACCACCATCTGTTAATATCTTGATATTGGAAAGTTCGGTGCCTGAGGCAGAGCCAGGGTTGGCGACGCAGAGCTCCCAGCCTACTCCTTTCTACTCCGGGGCAGGGAACGTACCTCTCTTTGATTGTTTTCGCCTTCTTCCATAAAATCAAGTAGTAGTGTGCCCCTTCAGTCACTGACAACCAACCCCCTCTAAACGCGGGAGTGTGTTTGTGGGAGAAGAGTGATTTTCTTCGAGGCCACTTTATTGTAAGGAATCCTTTCAATGAATTTTTATTTTTATGACAATTCTAGGCTCCTTTAGGCGTTGTGATGGGCCCTGATTTGGGGGTGGGGGCTTTATTAATTAAAAAATTACTTTTTTCTGCCAACCCCCCTTACCCCAAATTCTTGTAAGGGTTATATTTCAGCTTCTTTGGAGTGATTCGCTTCTGTTTACTTTGAAAGCTGTTGGTTAAACAAACATCACTCGGGAGGCTTCTAAGCAGTGGGGTTCCCAGGAGAGAAACCGTGCAGCTGCTACTTGCTACTGATCTCGTGGCATTTCACTTTCCCCCCCATTCAGAACAAATCCAGGTTGGGCTTGGCGTCACACTGGGCATAGGGATTGAGAGAGAGAGAGAGGGAGAATACGGCAGGCAGTCAGTCTGCCTCTAGACAGCCTGAAGCAGGCCGGCCTGCACCCTTGAGTTGTTTTTTATTTCTTTCTCTTCCTCTTTTCAGGGTGGTGGTGGTGGTGAGTGGTAGATGGTGTTGTGTGTGTGTCCAGGCTGGATCTCCAGCATCCTTCTCCTGAAATAAACATCCACGTTTGTCTCTCAACTGGTCTAGTTGAAATTCCCAGAATTGGTTTGTTTAAGATCTGCTGACGGTTGTTTGCAAGGTTTTAAATTACTTATATGCAGTCTTCTCTCCTACCCCCACTTACTGGCTTTAAGAAAGAACCGGAGGGGTAAAATACACCGAGAAAATGTCAAGGCGAAGTGTGTTTAACCCAGAACCAGATGCATAAGTGATAAGTGCACGAGTTTGACTAAGAACGCGCAGATCACCCTTCAGATAAATAAGTAAATGTAGCTTGCAGGGATAGGGTTTGTTGGAAGACCAGTCAGAACTTGTGTTAACTTTTAAGTTATTGGGGTTGTGTTGGCATTGGGGCGGAGAAAGGGACTGACCCTAGGCTTGGCCGCTGGTTTCAGAGATGGAGCTAATATCTAGGCGACTTCTTGTCTCCGGGGCTGACTGATCGCGTCTCGCCTATCAGAAAACAAACCGGGAGTAGCCCGAGATAGAGGGCTCGGGCCTCACGCCTTGCTCCAGGGCGGTGCGAGACCCGGGAGAGCGCCGCAGCTCTGGCAAGAGAGGTTGCCTGGAGCCTGGCCTGTACGTCGCCTAGACGTTAGGGGACAGGACCGGGCTCCGCGTACGCAGCTCGCGGAGCTGGGCTGTGGACCGAGCTCGCGCGTCCAGCGTCGCGCGCGCTATTTCAAAAAGCCGCTCTTGTGCCCAAATGCGGGCTGCGAACCTCCGCGACAGAGCTGGCAAGCCGCGAGCCTCCGTCGCCGAGGCTGGGGGTGGGGGAGCTTTCCTGTTTGCCAAGCGGGTTACCCCGACTAAGACTGGGGCCTGCCTTCCCCCGGGAGTGATAAAGGACTTACTGGGGCTCGCAGGGAACTTTTCCCCCCGCCACTTCCCGGGCGTAGTGTGTGCTAAACGTGCACCCGAGCGCTAGGTGCAAGTGACATAAACTTGTGGGCTAAAGTTCAAGCCGTTTCCTTCCAAGGTCTGAACCTTTTCTCCCTCCCAGCTTCCTTTCTTCCCCCTTCTCCCCCTCCTCCTTCCCTGCCCTCCTCCCTTTTAAATGTCAAACTGAGCAGATGGTTTTAAGGTGTGGAGGGCATGTATCCTTTACTCCTGCCAGTTTATTTGTGGGCTGGCGCTCACATGTACATACTGGGATACTTAAGGAAAATAATAGGGCGAAAAAGAAGAAAGGAAGTAGCCTTGATTCATTCACAGAACCCACATTTCCCCGCTCAGTACACCCGCTTCCCTCGAAAGGACCCAACCAACAGAAGCATTATTCCGTCCTGTATGTAATGGGCACGTTGATAGATTCTGTCCCCAGCCTAAATTGTCCCTTCTCAGTTAGAACACTTAATACAGTAGCCGATCATTGGAAGTGTGAGTAGTGTGTTTGTGAGGGTCTGTGTTGTTTCCGTAATGGGGTGGGGGGGGGAGTGTCAGGAGGCGGCAAAAGGGGAGAAATGAAGGCTGGAGATGCTCAAGCAAGTCTTTTTTTCTTATCCCCAACACCTAACCGGGCCGGCCTGATTTTTTTTTCTTCTTCTTTGCAATGTTTGAGTCCCGTGCCAAAAGTTTCCTACAGGGTATGGACTCGAACATAGTACCATCACTATTCTTATTCAAAGATTTGACTTCACAGTTTGATGAATTTGAGGCTGAGATTGTAAGTGTCCTAGGAAAAGTGTGTGCGTGCGTGTGTTGCAGAAGATGGTGGTAATCGGCCAGTATACTTGTAACACACTTCACAAACACTCTGTTGTCACGACGCAACACGATTCAACCTTTGATCTGATTAAATTCGAGGGACACACGAAAAATACTTGTCCCCATCCTACCAAAAAATGAGTGTCTTATCGACTAGGTATGAATGTTTCTGCTTCGCAGCCCTTGCAAGTCCTAGCTTTTATAGGATCTTTAAGTCAGCGCATTTGCTTTATTAAAAGCCGTTTACTGTGCCCGGTGAAAGAGACATTCTAGCTGCGGCTGGGCGCTTGCGCTTTAGCATTAGCAACTTTCAAATCCCAAGAAGCCCTTTAAGAGCCACGTTATCTAAAGAAGCCTTGCTGGTTATTTTTCGTCCAAGAAATGTCAAACCAAAGTGAATTTTCTATGGCTTGACTTAGAAGCCCGAAATTTAAGCGTTTGAAATTTCTTGCCGAGTATACTTTAAAGTTTGTTACCCAGAGGTCAAAACTGTGTAAATCCTATTTGAAACCTCTCTCTTTAATCATTCTGGGGTGAGTGAGTTACTGAGCGTAATCGCGTGGTACTGTTTGTAACATTTTTTTTTCCCGTAAAGGTTGCTGTACCTACAATCCAAATAAAGTTGTTAGAGGTAACCAAGGACAAATATTCTTCCTAACAATTTTGACGGGAGATTGACTGGGATTCAGCCAATACTAGTCTTCTTATATCAGATGCAGCGGAGCCGGTGTGAAACCTCTAGCACCTATTATTTTAATCCCAAACCTACCTGTATTTTATTGTCCACCTCTCCTTTAAAAGGAAGCAAGGGTGACATGTATTCCTGATACTAGCTATGATCATTTAAAAAGTGGAATGTTTTGAGGATCCTCACTCCCTCCTCTTAGACCACCCCACCCCTAAAACCTCCACTTTTTCTCCAGTATACTTTTCTGTGCCTTCCTCCACCCCTGTCCGAGGAGCGCTCACTCGCTCTGCCGCTCAGCGAACTCGATCAGCTGTATCTGGGAAATGAAGGGGAAAAAAAAAAAAAAAGACCTGCGTCCTGGAAGAGCGAGTGTGAGCTGAGCGGCGCTCGCGCGGTCGCCGGCTTTGCACAGCGCCCGCAGATGGCTCGCTCCGGCCCGGGCGCGGCGATCCGGTCGCCCCCAAGCAGTGGCTGCGCGCGGGTGAGGGGGGGTGGGGGCGGGGATGGAGGCGGGGGAGGGGAGAGCGGGGCCCCTCTCCCCTCCTCTCCTCCCAGCCCCTCACCCCCACCCCTTTTATATTTTTTTTCCTCCCAAGTTCTCTTGCCTCGCTATCCCCCCTTGAATCCGAAGGCGCCTCGCGATTGGGTGCTGGGGCCGGGTACGTCAGTCAGACTGTGACGTGCAGTCTTCCTGTTTCCTTCAGCTGTGTCTTAAAGTAAATCTTGTTGTGGAGCGGAGCCCTCAGCTGAGGGAGCGCTCTGAAATAATACACCATTGCAGCCGGGGAAAGCAGAGCGGCGCAAAAGAGCTCTCGCCGGGTCCGCCTGCTCCCTCTCCGCTTCGCTCCTCTTCTCTCCTCTCCTCTCTCCCCTCTTCTACTCTCTTCTCTTCTCTTCTCTCTTCTCCTATTCTCCTCTCTCCTCCTCTCGCCTCTTCTCTTCCTCTCTCTCCTCTCTTCTTGTCTGCCCTCCTCTCCTCTCCCTGCCCACCCTCTCCTCTCTCTCCCCTCATTCTCCCCGTCGGCCCGCTCGCGCGCTCCCGCACGGACTCACCGTCCCTTGTCCCATTATCATATTCATCACCCGCAAGATCTCACCGTGCGTGTGCGCGCGCGTGTTTTCCTCTCTCCGCCTGCAAAAAAGGCTCGGTCCCACTGCTCTCTGCACCGAGTAAGTATCTTCTCCCCCTCGCGAGTCCCCTCCCCTTTTCCAGAATCACTTGTACCGGCTTGTTCTTGAATGAGAAGAAAAGAAAAGAGACTCCCATTACTCATACTCGTGTAAACATCTTTCCACCCTCCCCAGGAGAAAATGGTGTTCTTTAAATGAATCATAATAAAATAGTGTCTAAACAGTTTCTAAGCAGAAGCCTCAGTGGAACTCAGCGCTCCGCCTCTCCCAGTTCCTACGAGTAAGTGATCCGCTCGGCTTTTCTTTCTTTCTCTTTCCTGCTGGTGGCTGGGGGGTGGTGTTGGCGAGAGGGGGGAGGCTGATAGTGCTGGACGTGTCGCTGATCTTGTCACCTTTTGTGTACTGTTTCTGGAGGGGGAGGAGGCTTTTCCTTCCTTTCCTTCTTTCTCTTGCCCTCTCTTCCCAGGAGAGAGGACCGCGAGGGGGACCGGGTCGCTTTTTGTTCGTCTGGATCCCCGCTCTCCTCCCAGCCTCATCCTTCCCATCTCCCCCGGTGAAAACTCCTGGGCTAGTCCCCACGTCCTTGCTCTTTGTCTTGTTTATTATAGCTGCCTTTCTTCCAGGATCTTCCAATTTGCTTGTCATTTGCATACCTTTCACTTCTCCTTTTTAACCCCAGCAGAGGGCCAGGGAGTAGGGAGGAAGGGAGAGGGAGGTGTGGGGGGGGGGGGCGCTCTGTTACTTTCCTCTCAAAACGCTGTCGAAGCCGAAATGTTGAAATCAGGGTTGGAGCAATGGAGAGATGGTCCTGGGAAACGAGCACGGCGCCCCTCCCCTGTGCTCCCAGGACCCAGGGCTAGGTCAAGTTGAGTAGGGTAAGGTGGCACCGGGAGCCTCAGGGGTCCTGTGGTGGGAGGACTGGGGCTCAAGCGCGGCGGGAGGATGGAAAGATCGAGGTCCGGGTGGGGGTAGAGGATGTTCTCGGGCAGCGGATGTGCTCGCAGTCACCGCTGGCAGTCGACGTGGTTGGGCTGCTTCGATCTGATCTTGGTTCGTCTGGGTGGTACCTGCAATTTTGCCCCACTCCGGAGGACTGGAGAGGGAGGAGTGAAGAGGTGAGAGTGATTGTTACTGGGAAGAATAGTGAGGGGGCGAGAAGAGCTGCTATCTTGCCTGAACCGGCAAGGAGGGGGACGACGGGGGCAAGCTGGGGGGAGACATTACCCAAAGCCCAGGTTAGCAAATTGTTGGTTCTTCTGCTGTGCCAGCCACTTACTCCTCCTGCTAAAACTGAACGTAAGTGGAAGGTATGGATTGGAGGGGCGAGGTGAGGGGGGCGGGGGGCGGGGGGCGGAAGGGAGGCAAAGGGGGAGTAGCTTTGGAGAGAGACTCACAGGTCTCCCGCACTTCTCAGCTTTTTTTCGGAAGTTGAGAGTCCTCCAGGCTGGCCGACAGAAGACCTGGGAGGAGGGGTTGAGCGACAGTCTTAAATAGCCCAAAGAGGCAGGCTGGAGTGTGAAACTTCTGTTCTTGGCAATCCAGAACCCACTCCGCCTGGGGGAAGGCTGGGAACTCACCTGCTTGTTTTTATTTTTCCCAGAAGGTCTGTGTTGTCTCCTTGAGCTTATAATAACAGTGCAAGCACAGGGTGGCCTGCTCTCAAAGTCAAGGCTAGAAGTCTCTTGTCTTGTTCTCCCCCCCCCCACCTCTTCTCTCCCATCTATAACCTCCTTTACAAAAAAAAAAAAAAAATTATAATAATGTCCTTTCCTGGATTAGGTAGACAAAGGTCTATTAGCCGAGAGCTGCGCCATGGGCAGGGCCTGACAGGTGTGTTATGTCAAGAAAGACAGGTGCAAATTTCCTCTGTGTCTGTGTGTGTCTGTACAGTTCCAGACCTCAGGGTGTGCTCCAGGGTTGCGGAGGTTTATGGGTTTATGGTTGCCTTGGTTAATAGGATTGTCCGGGCTCATGGGAACTGCGCTGTTGTTATGTTTTGAGCCCTGCCATGTGAGTTCTTTGGTTGGGGGTGGAGGACAAGTTGGTATGTGTTTGTTTATTTTTCTTAAGGATGTTGGCAGGCTGCTGCTGAGGCTGTGTCTCGGGCTCCTGTCTGCCAGGCAGCTGAAAGTACCCCCACTTCAGGCAGCAGGTGGAGGGAGATTGACTTTCCCTTCGCTTCCCTCTGGTTTACGCCTATTTCCCAGGTCTTTGGGGGGATTCGGGGGGGGGGGGGAGTAGTGAGACCGTCTTGTGTGTGTGTGTGTGTGTGTGTGTGTGTGTGTGTGTGTGTGTGTGCGCGCGCGCTTTGGACATCCATGGATGGTGTGTGTAACTGCCAAGAATACCAAAGTCAGTTTGAAAGTGTTACTGTTTTTAAAGCTTATGTTCTTTAGCGCGCTTTCTCCCTGCCCAGAAGGAATAGGTATGTGCATAAACTCTTTCAGGTCGTATGTTAAATACTCTCATAAAGTAGAATGAGCCTGTCATTGTACCAGACATGTGCCAGATGTCCTAGTTATTACTTTGATGGAGAAGGAAAATCTCAAGTATGTGAGAGGTAACTGTGCTTTTCTATTTGATGCAAGATGTAGGCAGTCAGTTCTCTGAAGTTTCTTGCAAGAACTTCTGAGCATTTTCAAAATGAAATGGGCTGTGGGTGGTGAAGAAGAAAAAGGGGAGTAATTTGCTTAACCTGTCCATGTGCTACAACATGGACCTGTTTCTGCAATAGTAAAATAGATGAAAGTAAGGACTGTGCCTTCATGTGTGAGGGAAGCTGTTGAGAATTCAGGGTAAGCACAGTATATGGATTCTCAAAATCGGACCTTTTAATTTTTTTTCTTTAAACAGGCTACTTCTTGAGTTGCATAGAAATAGATTAGATGGTGAATGGTTTTTTGTTGGTTGGTTTGGTGGCTTGGGTGATCATCCTTGTTTCATGAAAATGAGATAGTATGTGTCATTTTATTCTTTTGACTTAAACATCCAAGTTCCTCCTAATACTTTCTTTGGATGCTTTTGAAGTTCTTTCATAACTAAAATGTCATCTATGGATATGTCATTTGCTTTATTTTTAATAAGGGTTATCTGTGCTTGGCACTTATTGATATTTTTATATGTCCATTGTGCAGAATTCTATTTAGGTTAATCACCAAGACCTTGTGGGGAAAAAGTCATGCATACCTCACATGCATCTTTGTTCTCACTTTATTCATTCCCTTGCATCTTTCCTCTATAAGTAGCACTTACAATCTTAAAACATAACCTAGCTTCCAGGCGTACTCTTTATTTTTTCAAAATGAAATAGACCTTTTTTCATGAATTTCTTAGAGGCATTGTTTTGCATTTGCAACTGTAAATATAAGGAATATTTAGGTTCAAGATTAACAAAAGATTATAAAATGTTACTGATTTTATAATATGAAGATGGATTGTGCATGATATATTATTACTGGGTTCTAATTAAGTATCTGTATAAATTGGAAAGGACATATACGTAAGGAATTTCTAAAACCTTATTGCCTGGTGTATTCGAAAGCTTCAAAGGACATTTAGAGTATTTCAATTCTCTTCAGAAAAAAATAAATGTAAGTGTTTCTTCTTGAAGTTATTTCTCACTCTCTTTTATTTACTAATTTGGTGACTTATTACTTTTTAATATTTTAGGCGTGTCTCAGAAAATACTCTGTGTTCATCTTGCAGGTGAAAAATGTATGAAATTTTTGATAGAATGGAGGAATTTAAGATAAAATGGTTCTGATTTGAGATCTCTATTATCATAGGAAAATTTAAACCTGATATAAGATTTTGACAATACAATGTTAGTTAATTTAAGTATTAACTAATGTCAAGTGGGTTCCTCACAATAAACATCAAAGACTTTCTTAGCCTGATAGTGAGCAGAAACATCTCCAAAGGAAAAGTTGCTAATTAGCAGAAATGAGCTCTTAAATACAGTGAAGGGGACAGCTTGGTAAAGGGCAGGGGTGGGGGAGTACCTAAATCAAATCATCTGATTTCCCCCCTTGAATTACTGATTTCCAGATGGATTTACAAGGTTCTTTGTTAGTGTTCTTCCACTTGCAGTTTCATAAGCGGCTTGACCCAAGTAGATCAGAGGCCCACTCAAAGGTTGTTTTCTAAAAGAAGTAAAGGGTAGGCTTGAGCAATTTCTTCAAATCATTTTATCAACAAAGACAGATAGGCTAAATCATCCAAGCAGGAAACCATGCCAACCTTACCCTTCCCCTTCTCATGAAAGATTTGACTGAACTACCTGAGTAGTAATCATAGTGATCACTTCTTTGTCTAGAATCTGGACTCCAGATCGAGGCATAAAAGTTGCATCCCCTTCCCCAAATAACTTCTTTATTAAAGCAGAACACTTCAGCACTTTCTACTTCACACTGCAGTGTTCCTTTGAAATGCTTCCCTGAAAATTCTTTTCTACTAACGTTGTCATCAGCTTCCTTAGGATTCTCCATGTTAACTTATCTGACATTCTCCAGATAATTCAGATTTTAATGAAGAATCTTTTGGAGTAGTTAAAATCTGACTTGATCATAGTTGAACGTTCTTACCTTTTTCTGGGAGGAATCTGCTAATGTTAAGATACCCTTCGTATAGGAATTATTAAAGTGTTTATGTAGTTAGATGCCAAGTGGTACAACACAATATTTAATAATAAAAATATTCTATGTAGATTTTCATATTAATTACAGAGGAGTTTACAGGAATAGAATATGTGTATCCAATCGATAATACATTTGGGTTCAAATGCTACGTCAGTATTTTTCTGCATACTTGCTGATACTGATGTTCACCAGTGCTGATCAAAAGGTTCATATCGCTGGGTTAAACTCAAAATTAATATAAAAATTAAAACATAATAAGAATCAGTAATAATTGTAGTTGAAACATATGGCTTAGTACATATATTGAGAAATAAAGGAATTTTTTAAAATCTTAATGGACAGGATGATATCAGTGATAAATTAATTGCATAGCATTCTCTAAATTCTGAATTGGGAAATCATGGAAGCACCTTTGAAAGTGTTTTCAAGTGATTTAATTTACATTATAGTCATTTAACAATGCATTTTCTTCTGCGGTAAAATATTCATATATATATATATATATATATATATCTTGTTTGTGAAACATGATGCTAATAAAGTACTACAGTCCGCCAGTTATAATTATTTAATCTTGCCTATAGCCTTCATGGGTTATAATCCCAATGTGTATGACTACTATACCTTTATTTCTGAGTTTAGGTCAAAGCTATTCATAGAGATCTATTTATTCACGCCTCCTAATATAATGCCTTGTCTTGCTGGATTATATAATTTTTCCTAGTTTTCTCATTTGTTTTGTCCTGATTGTTATGTCTCAGCTGTACATTTTACAATAAGACCCCAAAATATTTAAATTTTCTTAGCCCCAAACAAACAAATCATTATTTAATCCAAGAATGCTGACCAGTTGAGAGAAAATTGCAAAAATCAGTTTCGTTCGGTGAATTTGAGGGAAGTTACAGGATATTTTCTTCTTAAAAGACCCAACAAGCACGTTTAATTAACATGTATTCTCCACTGAAGATGAGAATGTGATTTCTCTCCACCTTAGGAAGAGCACAGCCTTCCCCTTGGCTCAGGCATGAGGTAGGGATGCAGCTGTTGATACCTAGGCTAGATGAGAGGAAGTGCAGTTGACGCAGAGGTAAATAGCAGCTGGGAAGGGAAGGATGGCTGGGGATGACCTTGTGCTCATCTCTTACACCAGCGTGTTGTTTCTGAGCCTCTGTTGCAGAGATGCTCTTCCTGTAGCAAGGATGGGTAGGGGGAAAACCCAGATTGGATGTTAAGAGGAACAGGGCAAGAAAATACTGCAGAAAGTTTGTGCAACATTTTGATTGGTGAGCTATGTGCTTTTCAGGTGATATTAGAGAGAAAATGATTTGCACCCAAAAAGACAAGAGGTAAAATTTTTAAAGAATGGCAATAAACTCTATTTTTGAAAAGCTGATCTACACACACAAAGTCCTCCTCGCAAAGACATCCCACCTCAATATGCAAGTCTTTCTGAGCTTTAAAATAATTCATCTTTTTTCTTGTTTGTCTCCGTCTCCCCTTTTTTCTTTCTCTCACCTGACAGCTGCACCTGATTTATCAGATCTAACATGTTAGTGAAATAATTGCCATTGCATTTTTGTATTCCTGAAACCAATTTCATTTATTAATGTGTGAGGGGTCACAATCATCTTGAATTCAGTTTTGAACCCTATACATTGAAGTTATCAAGATCTGTTTCCATTCCAAGTTCAGGAAATTTTATCCTGAGGCACACAAAAAAGTATTTTACCCTCAAGCATCCAAAAAAAACATACAAAAAAGCATCATGTT